GCTCTCTACTGCACTCACTGACCCCCCACTCAGCTCTCTACTGCACTCACTGACCCCCCACTCAGCTCTCTACTGCACTCACTGACCCCCCACTCAGCTCTCTACTGCACTCACTGACCCCCCACTCAGCTCTCTACTGCACTCACTGACCCCCCACTCAGCTCTCTACTGCACTCACTGACCCCCCACTCAGCTCTCTACTGCACTCACTGACCCCCCACTCAGCTCTCTACTGCACTCACTGACCCCCCATTCAGCTCTCTACTGCACTCACTGACCCCCCACTCAGCTCTCTACTGCACTCACTGACCCCCCACTCAGCTCTCTACTGCACTCACTGACCTTCACTGAGCGTGATGTCCCCTCACGGACCCTAGAGTGGGAGAGGGCTCAGAACGAATTGGGGGGGGTTATTGTTTATGGTTTGTTATAAGCGCTTTATGTCCTAATTCCAGGTCTGTTAACTCAGCCGGCTTTCAATGGCATTTTCAGGTAAGTACCCTGTGTGACATCTACCTGCTCCATAAATATATAGATTTATGGGTAATCCTTATTTTTAGCAATAATAATAATTAATAAAAAATACAATCTCAGGGGTGGGACAGGACAATCGAGCAGAGAGGATGCCAACTTTCACTGCTCCAATCTTGAGATATCCGGACGTACAGGTTATGGTGCAATCTAAGATCGCTAGCGGCATTGAGGGCTGTGGAAGCTTCCGGTTATCTGCTATAAGTGGGTCTATCCTAGAGGTCCCAGGCAGTGCTATACGTCAGTGGGTCTATCCTAGAGGTCCCAGGCAGTGCTATACGTCAGTGGGTCTATCCTAGAGGTCCCAGGCAGTGCTATACGTCAGTGGGTCTATCCTAGAGGTCCCAGGCAGAGCTATACGTCAGTGGGTCTATCCTAGAGGTCCCAGGTAGTGCTATACGTCAGTGGGTCTATCCTAGAGGTCTCAGGCAGTGCTATACGTCAGTGGGTCTGTCCTAGAGGTCCCAGGTAGTGCTATACATCAGTGGATCTGTCCTAGAGGTCCCAGGCAGTGCTATACATCAGTGGATCTGTCCTAGAGGTCCCAGGCAGTGCTATACATCAGTGGATCTGTCCTAGAGGCCCCAGGCAGTGCTATACGTCAGTGGATCTGCCCTAGAGGCCCCAGGCAGTGATATACGTCAGTGGATCTGCCCTAGAGGTCCCAGGCAGTCCTATGCGTCAGTGGGTCTGTCCTAGAGGTCCCAGGCAGTGCTATACGTCAGTGGATCTGCCCTAGAGGTCCCAGGCAGTGCTATACGTCAGTGGATCTGCCCTAGAGGTCCCAGGCAGTGCTATACGTCAGTGGGTCTGTCCTAGAGGTCCCAGGCAGTGCTATACGTCAGTGGGTCTGTCCTAGAGGTCCCAGGCAGTGCTATACGTCAGTGGGTCTGCCCTAGAGGTCTCAGGCAGTCCTATACGTCAGTGGATCTGTCCTAGAGGTCCCAGGCAGTGCTAGAGGTCCCAGGCAGTGCTAGAGGTCCCAGGCAGTGCTAGACGTCTGTGGGTCTATCCTAGAGGTCCCAGGCAGTGCTATAAATCAGTGGGTCAGTCCTACAGGTCCCAGGCAGTGCTATACGTCTGTTGGTCTGTCCTAGAGGTCCCAGGCAGTGCTATAAATCAGTGGGTCAGTCCTACAGGTCCCAGGCAGTTCTATATGTCAGTGGGTCTGTCCTAGAGGTCCCAGGCTGTTCTATATGTCAGTGGGTCTGTCCTAGAGGTCCCAGGAAGAGCTATACATCAGTGGGTCTGTCCTAGAGGCCCCAGGCAGTGCTATAAGTCAGTGAGTCAGTCCTAGGGGTCCCAGGCAGTGCTACACGTCCCCCATATCAGCTGTGCATGCTATGTTATTAATAGATTGCATTATTTTGTCAGGTGTTGAAGACCATCTGTGTAAAGGCCCCTATGAGCGGCCCCCCAATTACAGCACTATTGCTCCCTTTGCTCCTCCTGTCACATACCCATCAGCTACATCTATAGACCCCATGCTAATTAATGGGGTTCCTGCAGGTCTGGAGTATCTTACCCAGGTAATATTATATACATACACCCTAAGCCGTGTACACTGTGTGCCCATATTGGGCGTATAATATCTGATTCACGATATCACTATTTCACTATATCTCTGATTCACTATATCTCTGATTCACTATATCTCTGATTCACTATATCTCTGATTCACTAAATCCATTTCTGTGCAAAAATATCAGGCATTAGGTGATGTGCAGGCCGTAGATACAGACAATAGTTTGGGTGTTTATGGCCTGTGCTTCGCCGATATCCAATATACGCTGTCAGTTATCCCGATATCCGGTATATGCTGTTACTGTTATCCCAATATCCAATATATGCTGTTACTGTTATCCCGATATCCGGTATATGTTGTTACTGTTATCCCGATATCCGGTATATGCTGTTACTGTTATCCCGATATCCGGTATATGTTGTTACTGTTATCCCGATATCCGGTATATGCTGTTACTGTTATCCCGATATCCGGTATATGCTGTTACTGTTATCCCGATATCCGGTATATGCTGTTACTGTTATCCCGATATCCAATATACGCTGTAAGTTATCCCGATATCCGGTATATGCTGTTACTGTTATCCCAATATCCAATATACGCTGTTACTGTTATCCCAATATCCGGTATATGTTGTTACTGTTATCCCGATATCCGGTATATGCTGTTACTGTTATCCCGATATCCGGTATATGCTGTTACTGTTATCCCGATATCCGGTATATGTTGTTACTGTTATCCCGATATCCAATATACGCTGTAAGTTATCCCGATATCCGGTATATGCTGTTACTGTTATCCCAATATCCAATATACGCTGTCAGTTATCTTGATAGCCGGTATATGCTGTCAGTTATCTTGATATCCGGTATATGCTGTCAGTTATCTTGATATCCGGTATATGCTGTTAC